CCCCCCCCCCCCCCTTCAACTTTACGCCCGGGGCCAGCACCCCGGCTGCCCCCCGGTTGTTATGCCACTGGGTGGATAGATATACTGGAAAAATACCCAAAAATACTGATAGTCGAATAATATCACTTCTTACAAGGCATACAGTTCCTAGTGGAAGGTCCCTCTTCTCCCTCTCAATAGGCCAGAAGTGTCTCCATTACCACAGAGGTTCCAGTGTGTACTCTGCTTCAGGACAGACTGTAGCCTGGATCTGTGGAGGTTACTGTGGTGACTCCATTTTCCCCATGACCTATGTTAACATGGCTGAGGTCCTTGTAATGGATCCAGCATAGCCAGCTAGCACATGGCATTCCATGAGGGTAGGCCTTGAGGGCCTAGCCCCCAGGCCTGGGTAGCAGCCCAACACCTGAGCACCAACCTCCCAACATGGGAGTGGCAGGAACAAGGGACCCCAGTTCTGAGCATTCTCATGGGTTTTGCTTTAGCCAATCCCTCCTTCTGTGATGTTTACAGCACTGATTGGCTAACACAGAATCACTGTCAGAATGATACTTCTCCAGCACAGTACTCTGTCACAGCAAAGCCTGGTGGATGAAGCACATAGATGACTCATGAGCACACCCTACTGGTCGGAAAGTAATATCTACATTAAAACCTGAATAACACTGCTCTATTACAGGGGGTGTCACGGGGTACACCCTTACATATACATCTGTGAAGGGGTGGGGTGGGATATACAGATCAGGGGAAAGGGGCAAAAATAAAAAGTGCACTTTGCCTGTAAGCGCACTAATTGTTTAAAGGAAATGTAACATAGTTTTGTATACATTTTATTACTTTACTTATCATGGTTCAGACTAAGTAGAATTGCTTTTTTCTTTAGTGTTTTTACTCTACTGTCTCTTTAGAAACTGATAATAATCTGTGGCACCAGCATCATGGTTGTACCCTTTATTAAATGTTTATGACCTAAAACCCCAGTATATTTTTGTATTTCCACTGAATAATGCAAGCATCAAGGAATGCTAGGTGGGGATCCTTCACATTACTACATGGAGGAGTTCTAATCCAATAACTGATTTTTGTTGGCGATTCCATTTAATGACATCAGTAGATATGTGTAACAATATATTTTAAACAAGTCTAATACATGTTTTTTTACTTCCCTAGAGAGTTTTTAAGAGTCCTATCAACAACCCTTCAAGGAGTCGGACGCTTGCTGCTCTCTGCCTCCGGATTGTTAAGACGCCTGCTAGAGGGATCAGATCGTTGGCAGACCAACCGAATCTGCGAGTATGAAGGTTGAAAACCCAACATGCAACTTTCCTGTCCATAATGCATGTACTCTCGCTACATATAGTAATAGTGTAAAGGTTGCGCAAATATAGGAAGAAAAAAAAGGAATGTTATATTTAACGAAGAAACTTGCCATGGATATATACTTTATATAAATATATATGTATAAACATGCATGCTTTATATAATGTTAGCATGCATGGATAGGCACTGCCAAATTTCACAAACAGGCACCATCCTTATTGATTTGGAAAATCCGACCGGGTTAATAACATTTTATGTCCTGTTTACCTCCTGATTCTGACCTCTGCCTGTTTTATTGCCCATACAATTTACCTGCTTAAAGATAACATTGCAGTACAATGCAAAGCCCGCTTATACTGTCTGAGCCCCATTGCCCTGTTAAAATCACTTGCTGTTAGTTGGTACAAAAGCTAGATGCATACTTACCTTACCCATGTCTTCCTCAGCGCTGGGCATAATGTTGCCGTTGCCGTTTTTCCGGGAAGGTTCCCTGGGGAATGCAGAGAAGGATGTTCTTCTGCAAATGATTTTAGCTGCTCTGGATTCCCCATTATACTGCTGGAAACAGTGTAACTTCTCCCCCACCTAGGGGTAATGTAATAGCAAATATCACTTTTTTCCTTTACATGTACATTTTGCATCTACTAACAGCAGATCATTTCTACAGAGGGAGTGAACATTATAAGGGGGCCTTGCATTTTACTGGATGATGTGCTTTAACTTCTTGGTTTCATATTTTGAATATCGTGTCCTTTGAGGAATGGTTTCTTTGGGCTTCAGATGGCAGATGACCACACATGCATATCCACTGTAAACTTGTATTATAATAAATATTTGTAAGAGTGTGTTATACATAAATGTTTCTTTTCTCTTTCCAAGTTAACCTTTTAATTGTATATTTTTGATATTTGGTAATTTATACGAGTAGTATGTATTGTTAAAGGTGAAATGCAGTAGTCATGGGAATTGTAGTGACCTACAACCCTACACTGTACTAAGTGTAGATGAATGCTTTACTGTATCTTTGTGATCAGTTATCTGGTCAAATACTTTTCCTTTTACTTGTTTTCCATGTTGTTATTTGTAGCTGTTGTTACTGATGGAAACTGGAGTGTCAGTAGTAATGTGGAATGCAATAAAGAGTATTTCTTTTATAATGTAAACATATGGTGTTTTATTTTATTTGTGGGCTTTCCATCTTCAAGCCTTTTCAGTTTGCCATCTAGAAGGAGCAATGTTTAGTTCATTTCAAAAAACAAAATATGTGCTGGAGAAAGTTCTATTGTATCCTAAAAAAACTTGCAGGAAATTGGCATATAAATCCCCATAGCAAAAAAAAAAAAATCAAATGTATATTTTCATTCCTTTTTCGAACGTAAAAGGGGCAGAGTTTGGAAAAGTATTTTTTGATTTTCATCACATATGGACAAAGAGGACAGACATGTGTTCAAGTATTTTTTTTTAAACATATTTATTTCTGTTTTTGATCTTTTCATATATTTCTACCCTTCACAGGCAGCTGCACATTGTCACACCTCTAATACTTTTTCAGCAAAACAACATAACTAGAGGATGAAAAGTATTTCCAGAAAGCTAAATATAATGAACAGAGATTATTACCATACATCACCAGGTTGTAAATGTTAGGGATGCACAGATACCAAGTACCGTACTTGGTACAAGTACAGATACTTTTGCAGCTCCAAGACTAGACTAGAGAAAAACTCAAATGTTAGGAGGCAGCTGTCATTTTTAAGGAGCATTGGTTACGGGGCTCCTGGGATTTGTGCATCCCTATTTTAATGTATGATTCAGATAGATAGATAGATAGATAGATAGATAGATAGATAGATAGATAGATATTACACATACATTAGGGATTCACCAATACCATTTTTTTCAGACTAAGTACAATTACCAATACTTGTCCAAGTGCTCACAGATACCAATTACTGATACCTTTTTTTTATTGTCATGTCACAGTTTTTCTAAAACAATACAGACAGGGGCGGAACTACCGCCATAGCGACCCACGCGGGCGCTATGGGGCCCGCAGCCGAGTGGGGCCCGGTGAGGATGAGGAACCGACACATACAGCAGGAGCGCACGTAAGCCTCCCGGCCCCACGGCCCGTCCATGTCCCGAGACATACAGCAGGAGCGCAGAGTGGATGGGGCAGAACGCTCGAGCGCGCCTGTGAAGGGACATCGTATTTGGCACATGATGAGGCTCCGGAGTCTGGACAGGAGGTAGGAAGGGAGTGGGAGATTGTTATATGCCTGGCCTGGCCCTGCATGGTATAATTTTGCAGGCTGCAGTTAATTGATTTTCTGGATTCTGCAGATTGTGTTTTTTATTTTTCATACTGTCATAAGTGGGGATCTGCTTTATATTCTTGCATTGACTATTGACTGTCAGCAAGCTGAATATTCCCACTTACTTCCTTCCCTATGCTATGTCCACTTAGGCTCCATTCAGGCTCCATTCACATATAGCGTTTCCGTTTCGTGCGGGAGACCGTGCGGGATGAAAATGCCAAGGCTCCATTGACACTAGGGCGGATGTCGGCGTATATTGGGCTGTATGAATACACGCGTAGCCGCTCCAAAGCCACAAGACAATGCACTTCAATGTGCATTGTTCGGACTATTGCGGACTACTGCGCAGTTCCCAAAATAGCGCAAGTGTCGAATCCGGTGGATTCCAAATGTTCGCTGATTTATAATGGCCGCAAACGAGCGCTTTGCAGTTATTTCACATATAGCGTTTGACCACACAGAAAACCGTGCGGGAAAAGCAAACGCTATATGTGAATGGAGCCATACATTTTTCATCCGCAGGGATTCCACTTGTTTGCAGCTATTATATTGCCCAAACATGCAGAATCCGCCGTATTATTGCGATTGCACTGTTTTAGGGCCGCAATAGTCTGAATAATGCACATTAAAGTGCATTGTTTTTTCTGTTTAGAGCGGATCCTCGTGTATTCGTACAGCCGAATACATGCGAACAGCCGCTCCATTGTGAATGAAGCCTTAGGTTTGTTTCTAATCCCAACCACAATCATCTATCCTCATGTATGTAGTTTCCATTAGTGATGGGCCAAACAGGCCAGAGTTCATTTCAAATTCGAACTTTAGAACATCTAAAAAGTTCGAATTTGAACTCAATGCAAGTGAATGGGGGTAGAACTTTCAAAAACGATTGTCCACTTTAAGAGGTCCATAAAAGGTGTATGGGGAATACAGTTTTTAAAGGAGCAGTGATTTTAACATGACTTAAAGGGTTAACAATAAAAATGACAAATTTCTTCAAATACCCTGCCTAGGGGTCTCTATAAAGGAGAACTATGGGGTCAGTGTTTTTCCCCAAAGTTCTCCTAAGGGTCACGGGAGGGGGGCCCGTCTAGGACACCCCCCTGATGCTGTGCGGGCCGCCTGAGTCGCTATGGTTTCGAACGCGCAGCTGTTCAGATCACTGTCAGTAATCTGTGCAGCGCTGCGTTCTTCTCCACAGCCGCTGCTGAGTCAATTAGAGCCAGAAGCTGCGGTGGACGAGGCTGGACCCAGCAGGGGATGAGGAGGCGGGGCCGGTAATTTTGCTATGGGGCCCTGTGATTTCTAGATACGCCCCTGAATACAGACTAATGATTTCAGGACAGTGGTGGAGTGCCAGGGCCCAGTCACAGCAGCAACCCCTGCAACCTTGGTAGTTCTCGTGAAAATGCCAAGTATTGACACTGGTATCTGTGAATCATTCTTAAATATGTCTTATGAATAAAGGATGGACAAGGAGCAGATTACTAAACAGAGACTAGGTGAAAATGATAAATGAGAGGGACCAATATATAAGTATTTGCTATTATTAAAAACAATTTTTGCTTTGTAAAATAAATTAGAAATCTTAAAGGAAATACAATTTAGTCTATGTTCCCCAAAAAGTGACAGTGGAAGTCTTGCCATCTGGTCATATTGGAGTTTGTTCCTTTAATAAAGGTTCCGCTAGATTTAATCTGCAAATAGAAACAAAGCACATTTTTAATCTAAATATCATTAAATTTAGCAGCGCATTTCTACAATTTTTTGCCTAGACAGGAAGCAAAAATAACATACTAACCCAGTCACATTATAAACTGCATATGTCTACACTGTGTAAATGTAAATTACATTATCTGATCAGGAACCGATGAATTTCAATAAACTGTAGGTTTCAAATCAAATATTGATAACCACCCTGCGGGAATACACAGGCCTAGGGTTATTTTAAGATGGTTACGAGTAGACATATGCGCGATCTGGCTAATTCTGATGAGCACACCAATTTACGTGGGCAATCTGCTCAGATACGTGGGAGCACAGATGTGCACATACAGGCACAGACACCTAATTCCAGGTAGCCCATTTAAAGAAAAGTGTGGAGCTAAGAAATTGCTGGATGATCTTCAGCTAATACCCTGTGACTCACTCCTGATCCTACTACTGTTGCTTTCCCTTTGCTGACCCGGCTTGTCTTTGGACTTTCCTCTGCTCAATGTTGACCCCCCGGATTATTTTCAGACCCAGCCGTCGACCCCTAAATGTCTTACTCTGGCATATCCCAGGGTTTGGCCCAGAGATTCCCGTGATCCGGACTCCTGGCACCTGTACCACTCTGTGCCCCTTCACTCCCTGTGCTTCCTTTCCAGGGTGTTTGGACCAGAACCCTCTAGTCATCTTGACCTCCACCAGGTACGTGATAAACATACTATGGAAAATATTGTTGTACAGAAATATATTTTCTTGTATATGACTCTAACGTCATTGCTACTTTATACACCAGAACAATTTGGACACCTTGGCTGGATGGTAATGGGTGGACCTATTTTGATCTAGTCATTAGCAGCTTATTATCCACACAATGATAAATGAGGATTTAGTTTCATCAAGACAGCCAACATTATTTCTTGTTCATGTACAAACTATTAATCAATAATTTAATATCACCCTAAATCAATCCCGGTGTGCTGCATTATCCTAGACAATTGCTAACAGCAAGACAGATAAAAGCATGCAGATCTGCACTTACCATATTCAGAGATCTCCTTCCATGGGCTGAGGTCTAGTTGTGGGATACTGGAACATGAAACAAAATCCATAGGGTACCGATTCCCCAAGAAGACATGTAGAGGGACCTCGGTGATGTTTGTATTGCCACAGATAATATGGGACATGGTCACTTTTTCTATGGAACTTTTCTGAGCTGGGCTGAGAACTAAATCATTCTCATAGTAAAACCTAATCAGAAGAAGAGATGACTAATCAATACCAAATCACTCACCAATTACCCTTTTGCAAAAACTAGTATATAAACTCCCGCCAAAGCATAGTACCGGATGATTTGTTTATCTATAGTATACATGGCATTTATAATGAGAACTATGACCATATTCATTTCTTAGAACTCTACATTGTGTGCTGGCTAGAGACATGTTCTCACATACTCACTACTGCTTACTGGATTCTTGTCCTGAAATCCTCATTCTCATGACCAGAAAATGATCTCATATCCATTTCCCAGGTGCACCATTTCAAAATTGTTTTGTTAGCCCAGTTTACTGCAAATACTTTATGTATTTTTTTTCTCATGAACATGCCCACTTTAATGTATTTACTGGTCACTATCTTTGTGTAACTAAGGCAAGATCTAATGCAGCATGCACTGAAATTGACCAAACATTTTTAGAAATGTGACTGGTTTTATGTGGCCACCCCTTCATCATTATGTACCAGTATAGGTATTAGTTAGATGTGTTAGTGCTCTCAGTAGTATTTCTTTTTCACATAACAGACTTACTCTTATGCTTGTACATATAATCTTATGTAATGATGTGCACAAGTATAATTTAAACCAATAAATATTTTTTTTCAGGGATTAACAAGAATGTAGGGTTGATCAAACATTCAAATATGAATTGGGCAGATCTAGCTTGATTCCTACCATTTAACAAAATCTTTCATTTACAATTTATAGATCAAATTCAGAGACCCTTAGAAAACCCATGCTGAATCCTACTTAAGGTGATCTGAATTAATTTCTTATATGTGCAATCCAAGTGCTGTCGGAGAGCCACTAAATATACATTTGCACTTGTCACTTTACATAAAACTATTTTTGTCATGTTGTCATGTTTAAATATGTAAAGGTTCCAAGACATTATCCACATTTCTTGAAATTAAAGCTGGTAGATTGGGGAGCCATAGTCTCAAGCATATACCTGGCTTCCTATCCAGTAATTCCCCAAGTCATGCCAAGTTTTTCTGCTGCTTCTTTTGCCTGACACAGGAAATGTAATATTTGTAACCTTTGCTGGGACCAGACTGAGTGAATACTTTTTGTGGTTCTTACTAACGAATTAACTATATTTTGCATATGAGGCTGCATTGTATACTAGTAAATGAAGTATACCTGTCTCCATCTCGAGTCCTCCGGAATTGGTCTCCAATAAGACAAGCCAGGAGCTTTCCAGTTCTTCCACCTGGCACCAAGGGCTCAGAGACTCCTCCAATCCAGATGTCTATGTTTTCAGGAGTTCCATACAGCTCTAATAATTTTTTGGCCAGTGACTTATTACTTAACACAGTGGCCAACTCATCCAGATTTTTTGGGGCAGGAAGGCCACAAAATCTTCTCCATGCGTTATATCCTAGATGAAAAGAAAAATGTTAAAAAACAGCCTTAATAAAGGTAAACAGGACTGGTAGAGAGAAATTTCATAATCTGAAATCAATTAGCCCACATTCACACCTGTGCATGATGTTAATGTGTGTCACGCGTGCTTGTGCCCATTCCTGTGCCGCGTTTGCGCGCATCCCCATTGAGTTCAATGCGGCCTGCACGCACGACAAACCTGCATGGTATCTGCACATAGGCTCCTAGTCCAGGATAAGGGGAGCATGAAAATAGGTTATGTGGTGTTACGACTTAATTTAGGGCAAGGGTACTTAAACTTTACTGTTCTGTGAATCAAAAAGAGAGTTATTCCCAAAAGCCAAACAAGGGCAAAAATAATTGCCGCATAACACATTGCAGGCACTCTTCACCATTTTTGTAAGCTAGTCCCCCATACGTGTGCTGTCAATTACTTTAGTTTATTTGTTTCACAGATTTGAGAGGGATGGGGGTGTTATTTGCAGTAATATGTATTACCTTTTTATCCCACAGAAAAAATGCCCTCTGCGATACATTAACAGCATCGATTATAGGCTACGTTTTAGATTGCAGTAGTATACCAATTAATACATAAATTAAAAAATTTGCTATATCACTTACCATTGATTTTGACTTTAGACAAACTAGGCTATGTTTCGTGTGGCAATCCATTACAAACATGTGGATGTTTAAATTTGGGTCCCAACCCATAGTTTAAAAAAACCTAGGGGATAGGAAGATACCTTTTTTTTGTAATTGCTGCGGTTTTTGAACTTGGTGCCTGCAAAAACCTTTAAATAATTCTAATAGATTTGGTGCACAGCAGCCCAATAAGCAGCACACTATCCACATACTCTTCAACTTTTTTGACTTGCTGCTAAACCTCAACTCTTGTAAGAACCAAACACCACTCACATTGTTTAAATATCATAACAGAACTTCCAGCTTCAGTGGTCTATAAAGGCTTTGCCACTGGATTTAACTATGTGTGTGTGCGAGGTGGGGGGAGGGGGGTATTTCAGTTCTAGTTGAGGGAGGGATTAGTGTTGGGTAACGGTCAATAGTTGGTAGACAGAGCACTTTGGATGGGGCACAATAAAACTATTTGGGAGTTTCAACGGGCACTTGCAAGCACCTTTTGGTGACTGCTCCCCAATTTGCTAATTTAAATACTTAATAAAGGTGACAAGGTAACTTTAGGACTGTAAACTGTCACTGAGCCCCATAAGTATTGGTTATTTCATAGGAAGGGGCTCTTGTAGTGCTGGTTATGCTAATAAACTGTGGACATAAGTAGAAAAAATTAATTAATGCCTGGTGGAAGATGTGGGAGGGAACATAGAGAAAATGAGCCATTGCAGACACAACAGTTTTTAGGTGATATAAACATTGTTGTGTTGAAATATGAGAAGATAGTTGATTTGAGGAGTAGTTATGTAAAGTGTTAGGTCTGTTCCTTTGCAAATGATCCCTTCATAGTTTATCTCCACCAGTTACGAGAACTATTTTCCTGCTTGACATTTTCATTCAGCCCCAGAAAATGTCCAAATAGGTATCCCTGATTAAACATAGGTTTTGATTATATTGTCATAAAGCTGGGCTTCAGATTTGGTTGTTACCTGGCAGGCCATGTTCTCGTCCTCTTTGTATATTAATTGCAGCTAGATCGAGACCAATACGCTGCACCATCTTAAACAGACGTTCCCTCAACTCATCATCCACCATCTGATTCTGACGGTTCAGTTTGGCAAAATTGGCCAACATACCCCGGAGAAAAGGGTCGATTCCACCTGAAAGTAGGAAACACTGTTAGTATGGTAAAAACAATAGAAGTATATCACTAATAACGGGGAGAAAGGGGCTTAAAACGTTGCTTGAAATCAATTTTCGTCAGAGTGCTACTCAAATTCCAATAATTGCATATAGTTCTCTACCAAGAACATTAGGAGGCATTATCTCTACCAAGAGGCATTATCTTCGGGTAAACTTATCACTAAAGGTTTAGTAAACAATAAATCATATATTAAATAGATATCAGGAAAACGCTTTCATGCAGTTAGGGGCACTGCTAATAAATACACCCTTGTTTAGGTACTCACAGGATGCTTCAGGTTAAGTTACCCTCTAGGAAGTACAGAGCAAACACTGGCTTCTATAAAGGGGTAAATACTTCTGTTACATCTGTTTAATAAATCTGGGCCCCCTTATCCATACAAATTGTGGCATAAGAGTTAAGATACAAAAAAACTTTCTGAGAAAAGAATTAGTAAATATACTTACCTTACCCCCCGGCTGCACACTGCAGATCCTAAGGAATGTTGGGCATCACAAATCCTACAAGAAGACCCTCCAGCACATGTAAGCATGTCTTCTTCTCGGCGAGGGGTCGAGAGAGAAAATGGGATCATATTGACTAATGTTTTTCCCTGCAGGTTTCTTTCGAGCCACTAATGAGTGCATGTGTGCGGGGCAGATCTGATGTTTTAATCTGACCTTGTTTCTTTTTGTGTGCAAGGTCTATTCTAATAAGTTGAGAAACACTTGTGGATAGGGCAGATTACTTAATAAGCTGACAAGCAACATGTTTAAAAATAGACCAGTTTACCTTCATTCACTATCCTCCATGTGGCAAAGAAAGTCTGATGAAGGGGGACAGTAGGGTTTGTTTGATGGGGTTTATATTTATCTCCTACACGGTAAACCAATGGATGCACCATAGTGTGCCCCATACGAAAAGCAATGGTAAATACATTTGATACTCTTGGGTCCTCTTCATCATCATAATATGTATATGCAGGTAGAACATGGGACATCTCACTGCCCAACAAGAGGGGAAGCCAATCCTTGTACGTTATTTTCTGTTAATGAGAATAAATGTAGATAAGATCAGTAATACACTTTATCAGAAAATGGAACTAGTCATGTTTTATGTTTCAACATGGACATGGATATAAAAAGGTTAGAATGAAGAATATATTCCACAAGCAGTGTGGCTGTCATCTGGCTTTTTAGAACAATTCCAAAGTACCAAGTGGAACCAATCAGTGTATTGATAATTATTTTCAGATGAAATATTGCAACTTAAGCCAAGTAAGTAACTGTAGAAAGTGTATTTCAAGACAATGTTTTGTTTAGTTTTGGACATGTTAAGGAAGGGTTAGAAGCCCTGTCAGGTGGTCATTTCTGAAGGTAGAAGGAAGCTGTGGGGCACTGGATCTCTTACTCCTAGAATGAGATCCTAATAGGTTGGACTTGATGGACTAATGTCTTTATTCAACCTCAAATACTATGTAACTATGTAGGTATTTTCAGTAATTTCTTAAGCAACATGTGGTAGCCGAAAGTCACCTTTCAGTTTGAGTAGGGACTAGGTGTGCAAGAGAGAAAGCACTAAAAGCAGAACATATGAAGACGAACTTTATTTTTATTTAGAATCTTGTTTCATAAAAATCCACCATGTTTCAGAGGTTAGAGGATCTACCTTCATCAGGGCTTGGTACTGTTGAATGAAGCAGGGGTCGCTATAGTTATATGTTCCTCTCCAATCAGGAAAGCTCCTACTACCTGCTGATTGTAGAGCTCTAGCTCTGACTCAGCATGTTGGGTCTCTGCAGAAAGTCTACTGTTTCCACACAGAGAGCAAGGGTCTTTTTTTCTGCAGCATTCTGGCAGGGGGCAGGCTTTTCTACTCCAGCTGAGGCTGTTTTTTTAAACAAAACAAACTGGAAGACTATGCGTACCTTTTTATTATGACGCATTTATATTTGATTAGGTGAATTTATCTAAAGGTTCAGTCAGGCTCTAAATCTATTTGGTGACTATGGGACAACATGCTAAGTTCTTTTTTCATATACTTTGATTACTGAGGCCCATTGAAATTACTCACCTGTAATATGCTGCCTATGATCTTGCGGGTCTCTTGGTATAGCCTCTCCCCAGACCAATGAGGGTTTAATTCATGGAGCTTAGTGACAATGCGGTTATGTTCACGAAGAAAGAGTGTGTGGAACATTGCAAGACCAGGCTGTTCACTCACACGAGCATCTCCTGTAAAAAGTAAAACTCATTAGGACACAGACTGACATTCTGATAAAATTGCTAAGTGAATTTAAAGAAGAATGCCACCAAACAATGTCTAAAATGGCATATTACCTCAAATGGTTCATGATGATTAAATTAAAACTTTAAAAGTGTGTTTTGAAAAATACTGCACTGCTTCTTCATGGTTATGGCGTACATACATGCATGGGTTTGAATTTCAATCACTGATAAATTCAATATCAAATAAATGGATCCTTTCTAATGTAGCGCTCACCTCCGAAGGGGCTGCTGGAATATGCCCGATTCATCATCACTAGTCTATCTAGGGCAGGGGTCTCCAACCTCCGGCCCTCCAGCTGTGGTGGAACTACAAATCCCATGAGGCATTGCAAGATTCTCACAGCCACAGACATGACTCCCGAAGAGAGATGCATCATGGGATTTGTAGTTTCACCACAGCTGGAGGGCCGGAGGTTTGAGACCCCTGATCTAGGGGTATGATCTTCAGCCACCTCATTAGCATTTAACCACCCTTCTTCTAGTGCCCATAAACTTGCTGTCCAGTCCAGTAATGCAATGCTGAATAGCTTTTATTAAACATCTTCCCACTGGGGAGAGAGGGTATAGGGATCCTAGACTTCCAGGTTGTCACAGACATAGACTCCAGACTCACCAGGTTTTTTAAGCAACTCAATGTAGATCCACTTGTGATACAGCGGATAGTAACTGAAGTAGCAGATGAACAGGGATGAGCACAAATCCTCAGCAAGAGAGACACCAGCCATACCCCTGAAGTCCTTTGAGTTCCAGGTAACTTTGAAAGCCATCTATTGATGGCTATCCTCCTCTGGCAGCAACACAGGCCTTCCAGGGAAACATTTCCCTCACACCAGCCTATGCCCACCCCCGGGCATCAGGCCTTGCCTGGGGGGGTGGGGGGTTTGGTTGGACACCATCCAGCCCTAATCCATGGCTAGTCTGAGCACATGGGAAATCCCTCCAGTATGTGTACCCTATCCCCGCATGCACCACTGGTTGAGAGAAACCCAGTGATTGGCTGCTGCCTGTATATACACTACAGTGCCTCTCATTGGGTGTTCCACTATATAGCAGAGTCACACTCCACCCAGGGGGATACAGTCAATGCCAGACACCTGGAATTAACCAGATAATCACCACTATAATCCAGCCAGGCTGACTACAACCCTAGCTATCCCTAAATGTCTAGTAACCACATCACAGAAGGATGTATAATGCACTTACCCTTAGTGGGCCCCTATACCGTTTCCAGCAGCTCTGGCAAGGCATATACTGACCTGCTATGAATCCACAGAGATCTTTGCTGTGTGGCCTGCCTTTTCGAGTATACTTACCTTATCTTGTACCTGAAACAGCAGCACCAAATGCCACTAACTCCACACCGAAACCACACTGTGAAGATGCCAGCACTAAGAACCACTGATCTGCACTTTAGAACTTGATGTGAACCTTCATGATTATTGTGGGCTCTCCAGCATGATGCACTCCAGTAGACAGAACTTACCCTATGTTTAGAATATTGTAAACAAGGGGATCTGGAGTAATCAATAAAGAACTGTAAAAGGTCTGTTCAAACATCAGCTGAGTGTAACACATAATATCATTACGAGTAATTATCATTACTATACTGTGAAATTCTTTAGTTGATAGATTTGTAACCTTCCTTTAATTAATGCTTGCAATTTCTTTCAACCCTTTCCTATTTTTTTTTCCTTTTAACTGGCCTTTGAACAAACCTGAAAGGAATGAATGAAAGGAATACTTTTAAAAAAGAAACAAGACATCTACTTCCCACTAAATATATTGTAAAAATGCAACTACTGTAGTAAGGTCACAATTGTAGCATACAACAGCGTTAAGATGGGAAAGAGCCTCAAAAGAATCAGAATGTCAATGTTCCTGTGGATAGAAATCAAGGAATGCCTGCATGGCATACAAAATATAAAGTAGAAGTAAAATATGCTTGTGTGCCCAAATCATCACTGTGTTTTATGTAACTAAAAGTGATTTTGTTGGAAATGGATGGAAATGAAAGCCAGTGCGCCGTTACCAAATGAAAATTATGGCGCCATGGTAACAAAAATATTGCGAGCCATCAAGCCACAACAATAAACTCACCTGCCAAGAAACAAGGAATTCCAGCTGACGTGTTTGTCCTGGTACATAGGTCTCCATTATTTCCAGTAAATGGTAGAAATGGTTGGCCATTGTCTGTATAATTTTGGTTCACAGCCAATAGCCCCAGATTGTTGGTAGTGTTACGAAGCTTGGTGGCAACAGCCATGTCACTGCCATACACTTGACTTCCATCAACATACGACGTCAGGACATTTATCTGCTCCCTTAAAGGAGTGACGATATTGCACACGGGTGCTGAGCGGAAAAGCGGAATACAGTCACTCTGGTTTTTAATCCTAGGGTCATTTGCTGGAATCTTCAAACAAAAAAACAGTGTTCATTTGTAATGAAACATTAACATTTATAAACAACCAAAATAATTTATCTAAAATACTGCAGAATTAGGTTTTCTCATGGGTAATTTAAAGCATTATACTACTCCATGCGTTTAAAATAGTGTCCATTTCTTGAACTACACTCTTTGAACTTGATGCCTAGATGCCCTAGCTAAATTGTGCATGATTCAACATGCATTGTTTAACTTAAGATTACATCTATGACTAATTTGCAAACCTATATAATTTATATACAGGTGAAACTCGAATAATTAGAATATCGTGCAAAAGTAATTGCAGTAAGTGCTGCAAAAGGGGCCCAAACCAAGTACTGAGTACATATGCATGCTTGTACTTTTCAGAGGTCCGATATTGTTCTATGTACAATCCTTGTTTTATTGATAGCATGTAATAATCTACTTTTTTGAGGTTGTGGATTTGGGGTTCTTGGGGTTTTCATGAGCTGTAAGCCATAATCATCACAATTATGACAAATCACGGCTTGAACTATCCTGCTTTGCATGTAATGAGTCTATCTCATATATTAGTTTCACCTTTTAAGTTGCATTAGTGAAATAAATGAACTTTGCACAATATTCTAATTATTCGAGTTTCACCTGTATATATACAGTATATATATTTTTTTATTTTTTTTACTAATGCACTGTTAAATAAATAGCACTGCAGATAAGCACTGCAGCCTAAGAAATATTTTAGAATCTTCAGATAAAACATTATATCACACACACATTTCAACTAGAAGCCAATACATACGACAACGCTACATCCTTTGAAACTAATATCTAAATAATCCACACTCCCAAGGTATGATCTTGCCTACTTTACAATACATTACTTGCTTCACACTCCCTTACCACAACCGCCTACACAATAAAATAGGCAGAAGATCTAGGGACAACTTTACAACCAGAAGACTGGAACCAAACTTAGCAAACCACTAAGCCCTGCTCCGCAATATGTATGCACTTGAGAAAAAGGAAAAGCTATTTCACGTTGCTACCTTGTTTCAACTCACATATGTAAAAATAGGCCTAAGGCCTCCCCTAAATGTTTTAGAAAATGCAGTGACCTTGGTACCCCACATCTGGAGGTAATGTCCCATTGTGTGTGCTCTATGGTCCAGCACCTTTAAAATAATATCTACAATTTTACAATGTCCTTTACTGAAGAATCCCTAGGAGCCCTCCTCAACAAAAAGCTGGAAAGTGTCACTAAACTTTAATGTATACTGTTGTAGGCCCAATCATGGTGACAAAGCAAACATTTGCTAAGGTGTGGCGATTCCCAACTATTAATCCCCAAGAAATTAGATCTAGAGCTTCCTATGCTCTCCTGTTCGATAAAATAACTGCTAAACTGAATGACAGTGAATGACCAAATTTGAAAGAATGCAGTCCCCATGGGTTGAAAACTTTCTCCCTTTGGACTTTGATTTGGCAACTCCTTGCCCTCGAACTTGGACTTGTAGTGTCACGATTCCCAAGCATCACCACCTTTGGTCCTCTCTTCCTTACTTAACCCTCGTTCTATGTTTGTAACTTCCTTACTCTTAATAGCTCCTGTTACTCCCATTGTATCCTCTGTTGCTTGTTCACAATTGTTTTCTGTGTGCACTGTTCACACCATACATGTGCAGTGGTGTGCACAAAAATGCAGCTCAGTGGATATGATGTGAACATGCCCTACAGCAGGGGTGCCCATAAGGTCGATCGCGATCTACCAGTGATCGCTTAGCGATCACTGGTAGATCACAATGTCCTCTCCTCCTGCCGGTGGGGCTTCTCTGGATCCCCGCTGCTCTCCCCATCTGTATGCAGCGGGGATCCGAGAAGTGACGGAACCGGCGGCCCGGGAGAGCAGGGGGGATCCCTGGGAGAAGCTGAGCCCCCGTGTGCATGGCCAAGCGGCAGAGGATCGGTACATATCAGCAATATGTACCGGTCCTCTGTGCAGGACAAACACTGGAGCGATCATCCCCCCCTCCCACCCCCAACAGTAAAAAATAAATAAATAAAAAAGAAATAGTACAAATAAAATAAAAAATAGTAAATAAATGTAAAAAAAATCCTGGAGGCAGGGCACTGGGTAACATCACACGCCTGTTGGGGGGGTTTCTTGCCTCGGACGCAAAAAGAGCTGGCTACGGCTATGCTCCCGCGGTGCTCGTGCAGCTGCCGGCTGAATGTGTTAGAAGCCGCAGATGGAAAGGGGCAGGACACCTCTCCCCATGTGCAACGTCAGCCACACGAGCACCGCGGGAGGACAAGACGCAGGGGCCTCTAGGACGCACAGGACTCCCTGCGTTCAGGGGTGGGAGGGGGTGTGGGGTTGTAATGAATTCAATATCACCGCAGGCATGCCCCCCGCCCACAGTGCGATCGCCCGCAACCGGAACGCAGGCACATTAGTGCCTGCACTCCGGTCCAGTGCAATCTGCAAAAATAGTGCTCGCAGCATTTTTGCAGATCGCACTGGACTGGAACGCAGGCACTAATGTGCCTGGGTTCCGGGTGCAGGCGATCGCACTGTGGGCGAGGGGCTTGCCTGCGGTGCCATTGACTTCAATGCACCGCCACGCCCCCTCCCGCCCCTGAATGCAGGTGTTTTTTCGTTGGTAGATCTCATTGAGCTCGTCAGTTGAAAAGTAGATCTCCAGACGAAAAATTGTGGGTGCCCCTGCCCTACAGCTATACAGATATACTTCTCCTCCAGAATTCCCCTCTTAAAACCAGCAATCTCCTGTGAAAGACAGTACTGTCTATATCAGTCATATTTGTAAAGCAGTCTAATTAGCAGAATGTTGTTATTCCTTTTATGCTGTACTTTTGTTATTTGTGAATTCAGATGTACAAGGGTTGTTTCCCGCTTCCTACTCTGTTGTCTTTTAGAAGCTCAATAAAACCTAAACAATATTAAACAGAACCTTATTAGCTAAATAAATCTAAATATCTGTCAATATCTAATCATTGACATTTACACATCATTTCAGCCGTCTCTCTGGTTTCTCAGCAAATCTCAACACAGTCCCAGGATTTGATTATCACCCTTACCGTCAGAGGAAAACAAGGATGTGCCATGGCACAGCTGCTGTCACAGTCTACACCTTCAATGAATGCTGATCTTGATGGGGTATCAGGAGAAAGATCTGTGTCATGATCCAGGAACTGTCCCCATTGCATAAACATGAGAGCTCTGTCTGTATCCTCAATCTGTGCGTTTTTTTGGTAGCTGACAATCTGATTTGATACTGCACGTGCCTGGGAAAAGTAAAAGTAGAATTTTAAGATTGGGCCCACAAATATAGCAACAGTAGTAGCAAAGATAGCAAACAATATCTAGAGCCCATGTACCTCGCCGAGCCGAGTTCAACCCTCCCCTCCCCAATCAAGAATTCATGATGTAGCGAAGCTTGAATGACTATGTACCCATACACACAAATAATGTTTTGCTTTGGCAAGATACTATTACCTTGGGCAGAGGGAATCCATTGATAGTTCGATTTTCTGTCCAGCCTCTGGGTAGGGAAATACCATCTTCATACTCTGGTGGAAGGAGACGTTTGTAACCTGTGTTTGAAGCACCAAGAATTGGGTTCCTCCTGCAAAATGTACATCACACTTCTGTCTGCTGCCTGCCTTCTTGAACTTGAGGTATATTTGGGCTTTAAATGCTGTTGGGATTTCACCTCACTTCCTGTTTCTTTCCTCAAAAAGGAACAAAGGCAGCAAGGACCCATTGAAGCATAGACGCGGACAGCCATAAAAAGCCAGAGCTTCTACTATTTAGTCACTTGATCCAAAACTGAGTTTTGCTTTGAGTTGATGCCTTTGTAAAACAGGTAAACTAAGAATGTTCAAGAGCTGACGTAGGTAGACTGAGAATGTCAAGGACCTCCCAGGCTGGAAATGAGTGCAGTAGATAAAGTGGGACACCAGAGGTTTCTTACCTATTATTACATTCTGCATTGATAGTGCGGTACGGAGAAAGGGAGCAGACTTTAGGTAGGAACTTGTATGCGCATCCTGTCAGTTCAGTAAGGATTTCCTTCTGCTCAGCAGTCAGCACATCTAGACATCAAGAGAAACACATTTATTGCCATGCATTCCCATAGTATAATACTGAAAATTGGAGGAAACCACATTCCACAACATTAAAGCAATTAAAGAGTAAATCTGCATAAAACTGCATAAATATCATACATTTTATAGTTTTTATAGCTGCATGAGATTTCTCGCACCACACGGTATGTCTGGGGAGGTTGTCACAGAACTTTATGTTTATTCTATGTTTTACATTAATTAAAGATTGCATACACATTTGTTAGAAAAATATATCATTATTTTTTTTTTAATCTCTGCCGGATAATTTAATGCCAGCATTGCTAATTATTTTTATACAGATCACGCCTTGTATACAGTAGTATGGACTCTCTATCTCCTGCAGGTTTGAAGAATAAAACGGAGTTCTTTTACCAACGGTACACACTACTGTTGGTCAGGATAGGGGCAAGACTGCACAAGAATTCTTGAACTGGCAATGGTAAAATTTGATTATTACAAGAAAGAGAATATTATTATCGAATTACATCAACTCATTTCTTTTACAGTTGCCTGAATATCCCTCTGTGACTGCGGAAGAAAAGAGTGAGCATTTGTTTAGTTCTAATTGACAATCTGGATTCATTCTTCGTGGCATGTTGACCATGCTTTTTATGTTTGAAAAAATCCAGACAACATTCACTTAACAAATTAACTGAAGTCAGAAAAGATTTATATTCTGTAACCATGAATTAATATAAAGTTTGATTGTAAATCTGTGGTGCTTTTGAGTTTAAAAAAGTTTGATACTTATATGGTTTTCTTCCACTAGAGGACAGTCCTGACTCCTGATATAATGATTCAAATCTGATACCTGATATATTGAATGGCCCTGGATAGATGTATTTCAGTTTTTCAGCGATAAGCTTGAGGGTGACATCCATGTAATCAGCAGCTCTTATGCGGTTTCTACTTAATGCAACGGGTTGCTTGAAAAACCCCATTATATCAGCAGGACTCACAATTTCTCTTTTTAATCGTACCTTCAGGCTGAGAAGACAAACAAAACATGTTATTCACTAAGTTGAACTTTTTAATCTGCCAGTGGTCAAAATGTTGTTTTATATATATATATTATATATATATATACATATATATACATATATACACACACTATATTGCCAAAAGTTTTGGGACACCCCTCCAAATCATTGGATTCAGGTGTTCCTTGAAATTTCCTTGCTAACTAAATGTTCCACGGTTACCTGTTAGTGGTATTATAACAAAGTGGGAGTAACTGGGAACAAAAACAACTCAGCCACGAAGTGGTAGGCCACATAAAATGACAGAGCGTGATCAGCGCATGCTGAAGCGCACAGTGCGCAGAAGTCGCCGACTGTCTGCAGAGTCAATAGCTACAGACCTCCAAACTTCGTGTGGCCTTCAGATTGGCACAACAACAGTGCGTAGAGAGCTTCATGGAATGGGTTTCCATGGCCGAGCAGCTCCATCCAAGCCTTTCATCACCAAGTGCAATGCAAAGCGTCGGATGCAGTGGTGTACAGCACGCCGCCACTGGACTCTAGAGAACTGGAGACGTGTTCTCTGCAGTGACGAATCACATTTCCCTGTCTGGCAATCCGATGGATGTGTCTGGGTTTGGCGGTTGCTAGGAGAACGGTACTTGCCTGACTGCATTGTGCGACGTGTTAAGTTTGGCGGAGAGGGGACTATGGTGTGGGGCTCTTTTTCAGGGGTGGGGCTTGGCCCCTTAGTTCCAGTGAAGGGAGCTCTTAAGGCATCAGCATACCAAGATATTTTGGACAATTTCATGCTCCCAACTATGTGGGAACAGTTTGGGGATGGCCCCTTCCTGATCCAACATGACTGCGCACCAGTGCACAATGCAAGGTCCATAATGACATGGATGAGAGAGTTTGGGGTGGAGGAACTTGAATGCCCTGCACAGAGCCCTGACCTCAACCCGATAGAACACCTAGGTGCCTCTTCCTCCTCTTCTTGTCCCATTACCGGTACCAAACATCTCACATGCCTTTATAGTAGATGTAAGACTTATTTGAATGTTTGGTTTGCTAAATCACTGTTTACCATAAACAAATGCCTTTTATTGTTACAATAAAATACTTTTTTCATCTTTTGTTGTATCTCAGTACTGATGACCTTCTGCAGTCACCTTGCGGCCACTTTCTGTCTAGGTTTATATGCTTCAATTATGGTCGTATGCCATTATTCAGGGCTGGTTTATATGGTGGCCACAATAGAATATGTCTGCATAATGTGTGTTAAAATAGCCACTTGAAGTCTTCATCAGACGTTCAGTCCACTAGGTGACATAGTTTTAAGGTTATATATTTACTTTGCCTCAGTTTGCAAGATTATTCTTTTAAAATGTCTCCACGCAATATTGATCCTATTGATCCTTTCAATGCCCCAGAATTCCAGCACACTAGAGCCTTTATTATGATGTTTCCTGAAGTGTGCTCAAATGCTGTTTTTCATATCCTCATTTGATGTTATAAATGTGTGCCTACTCTGACAGCTAAACACCTAGTTGCATCGCCCACATATTGGTGCCCACAAGGGTGTTGCAATATATTAATGATTCCTTTGGTGTTACATGGTATGAATTGTCTAATTTTATATTCACAATTTGTAACATGGGATAAAAAAGAATCCCTCTTCCTCTAGTTATTTTTAATGTTAATGCATCCTACACATCAGCTGCATCTAAAAAAAACTATTCTGTCCAAATAGATCCAAACATGGTTTCATTTAGGGGGATTGATAATATTATGCACAATCTTATTCCTAATTGTAGGAGTTATTCTGTAAATATTAGAATATAGATAATATATATCCCAATGTTCTATCACCCAGCAGAATGGGCCAATGTTTCTTTATAACAACCTTAAATTGTTCATACTGATTATTAAAATCATTGACAAATCTTGCTGGCTTATCTTTCCCATTTTTCTAATTCCCTCCTCCAGTCTATCATCTTTATATCATTTGCTTTTAAATCTTTCTTTGAGTGTCGTGGACTGCTCTATATAATCCCTATCTCTAGTACAGTTTGGCCTAATTCTTGTGAACTGGCCTCTGGGTTTACTTTGTAACCATTTTAGGTGGTGACAGCTAATTGACATATAACTATTCCTATCTGTAGACTTAGAATATGTATTTGTATATATGTTATTATTTTTAACACCAATATTTAAATCTAGAAAAAACACCTCTCCTTTATATTGATATTGTTGGAACTTCTTGCACAGCCTCACAGAGAAACACAAGCACACAGTCTGATATGCATGCTGCACATGACTGGAAAACAGGAAGGATTCTCTACCTTATTCAATACAACAGAGGATATACCATAGATACATAACAGAACTTATAAACACTGCCATCTAGTGACCGAAATTATCAGGAGTTGTTGCTATAAACACAGTAATGTGTATTCTAACGGATATTCTAACTGTTATCGTTACCTTGTTGAAAGGATGAAACTAATGACTCTTTAATACCCCTCCAAATAAAAAAAAACATCATCAATAAAGTGTTCACAAAAAGAAAGTTGTGGCCAATTATTCCTATTAATGAATTCTCTCTCACATCTGTATGTATATATATATACTGTATATACTGTGTATATATATATATATATATATATATACACATACAAAACAAAATACTTTTCTTTTGTGTGTGCAGTAAATCTACTTCAGTCTTTTATACTGCCTCCAATCCTTCTCTGTGCTTTATTATTGAATATAGAGACGATACATCTGCAATTACAAAAATAATTTATTCATTGTATGTATAAATGTTTTGTATCTTTCAGATACGCTGATGTAACGAGGGACTTAGGAAAGGATCCAAATACTCTCCCAATCTACCATATAAAGAATTTATTTCACTAACTATAGGTCTCCCTGGTTGGTGATGCAAATCTTTGTGACTCTTTGGCAAGTATTAGATCACAAGGATCTTGTAATCAGAAGTTAATAAATAAGTCTCTTTCTTAGTTCAAACCTTATTCTTTCTCACCGCTTCTTAATAAACTCTTTAATTGTTCATGATAACTATCACTAGGATTCTTTTTAGCGTCATATGTGCTATTATCTTCCAGAATTTACTTAATTTTTTTCTCATAATCACTTTTATTTAAAATAACTATCCCCCACCCTTATCTGCCAGCTGAATTACAACCATTCACTTGTGTTCTAGACTCAAAAGTCCCTTTTTTAATTTATCCAGAATATCTTTGTTTTTTAATCCTAAGGTTCTCCCCCTCTCTTTTAACCATATGTTCAAAAACAGCTATATACTGGTTACTGGGATTTTGAGGGTTGAAAACATAATATAAATGTAGGAAGGGAGTAAGTCCAGCTCCCTCCTATATGGACAATACAGAGGGTAGCGTGTAATGAGATATAAGATATGTGCAGCAATATGATATTGCGGGAGTTGGCATGGGCATATTGGATATGATATATTTGTTTCTCACCATTAGTTATGTTTGATATAATTACAATTTTGAAAGGGACAAGAGTTAGACTACATCAAATAAGCGGTTCCTGGAATAATTATTTATTCTCATATTTAGAAAACAGTTCTCTGTATGTCCTACAGCTATCAAAATTATAAGGCTAACCAGTTGGGGTGTATAACAATACGTAAAAATAATTTCGAAATAAAAGTCAGCAATTGCTATTGTGGTGATCACATGGCTGGATATTTGCCTTTACATGCAATTATACAAAACATAAGTTGCATTTCAGCATTTCAGCATTTCTAGCTTATCTTACTTGTTACGAGTGTCTGTGTACGCCTTATCGACTAAACGCTTTGCTTGTACGACGCTGTCTTGAAGCAAATTGTGCCCAAACTCTTTCAGCACACCTGAAAAAAAAAGAAATAGTTACAAACTTACAATTACTAAGAATAGGTTAGTCAAGTAAAAGGTAGTATTAGATAACTATCGAGGACATTATGCAGACTCTAGTTTATCAAGCATTTATATTTGGAGATGTGTCCTACCTTTTGTTTTATGGTATTCACATCTGCAAATAGTGACACAAACCAAAATAGACGTTTTCCACAGCGCGGCTGAACAGGGAATTCTTCATATTTTTGGTACCTATCTGCCAGCAATTGAAAACAGACCAGCAGCTGGCCATATGTGTATGTGCACAGGTGCATGAGAGATAAGATCCACCTGAAGCAGTTTGTTTTATCCTAATGGCCACAGCAGGTGTTCAAACCCGGTAACCTAAGCACAAAGATCTCACAAAAAGATTGCCCAAGAGATGTAAGAAATTGCCATGGGTTATAACTCTCTAGCATCTTCCAAAAACTGAAAATAAATAGAAATATCATACCTGAAAAAACATTTAGAGTGCAATCTGTTTTAAGTAGAGAACATTGAAACAGAAATACATTATTCTTTTTAAACTCTTATTTCATTGATAAGTAATCAACATTCAGTTTTGTTGCCCAATATTTAATCTACATCACTGACTTTCAAGGAGGATTAGAGTCAAAATCTCAACATTGCTTTGTGCCTGAAAAGTACAGATATGTATTCAGATTGGCTGTGCCCCAGTTATTTAGGCTCGAAGATGAGGGAAGAAGCAAGTGGGCAGCCCATTTAAAGTCAATGTAGACACAGGAGCTTCTTTACGCAGCTCCGGGCACATTAACAACTGGCCCCTCACACTCTATGGAGCAACACACCCTGTGTGAATGAAGTCTTTGCATTATTACAATGTAACACTGGCCACAGATGCTGAACTATCTCCTTAAGAATGACATCCTTCAGAAACCTGTGGCACTCCTTTTTCCCCAGCAGCATCAGGCAAACAATACGATAATTGAAAGAGATGCTTGACATTGGGAGCATTGCTTAGTTTTATCATGCCTTGTATGAGCAGCCTAATTCTGATCCATTAGTGATGGGTCTTTGGAAATATGACAATCTAGGTCATTTTTAGACCAACATTGCCTACATGCTCTAGCTATTTTAAATGTATGCTATTGCAAATGTATTAGGATACACAAATTAATTCATCAGCACAAGACAAAATTATAAATCACATTACTCAGTTAAAAGGATCACAGTGCATATTAATAGAAGCTTCATTTTTTCTTCTTCTGTGTCTAGAAAAATAGAAGTGAATACATTTAGAATTTACATTGTTTCTTTGCATTTCAAATATAGTGAGCTAATTGTTAAAATTAAAGCATTTTAATGTACTTAGTAGATTCTAAGCATCACCTACCTGTGTAATCCTGAGCATTCCTGACCCCTTTTACAGTCTGAATTTATAAGGCATATTTCACTGATTTTGTAGAGAGACACCCACTGGGCTGGTCTTTGCCAACAATGATGGGGCAGCACCTGCAGACTAGTTCCTGGAGGCGGTGAAACAATAAATGTTTGGTTTATACAGATCAATCAAACATTCTTGTCAATCATTCAACGATATATGAAAAGTATTGCCTTGTTCTAGAGGAGAATTACAGGTGGCTGTTTACTAACAAAAGGTCTGAATGCAAAATTTCATAGCAAACCTTACACGTGAGAAATTGTGTTACGCAATGTGTTTCAAGAGTTGACATACCAAACAGCAACAGAAATAAAAACTGCTTCTGAACAGGGTTTAGGCTTAGGATTTATTCTTGTAGTTAGCCAGGTAAATTTCAACAATTCATGAACATTGGCACAAAAGTTTTGCCTCTTACAGACATCATGCAGTCTCTGGGGCTCCCAACCCATTTAAATAGCTTTGTCCTTAATATCAATAAATTATCATTCAGAAAGGAAGGATTCAAATTAAAATTGTACAATACCTGGTTGGTCAATATCGCCAGACCTGTGGAGTTGGTTGTAGAGTTTATCCACTGATAGATTTCAGGGGGCATTTAAAAGTGCAGGTACAATCTGATTATTCTTAGGCAAAATAGAGAACTGAAGTGCTACATAAACATGGACATTATGGGTTGGCCAAGCATATATATTTATGCTGATGTAGAAAAAAGGAATTAGGAGAGATGGCGACTTATCAGGAAGGAAAATTAGTGCTCAGAACAGGTTTTCCAATCAATCCTTTCCCCCAAAAGTCAGCATGCTCTTTCTGTGGGAAAACATAGACATGACCTTGTCACCCATTCTGTCCGCACTTGTATTCCTAGATCCCTTATGTCTACCTTGCTTTTTCTTACAGAAGATCTTACATTTTTAACAATAACAGACCCTCCCAATAGATTACTCAATAGATCTCCGTACCCCCTTTACTAGTTTGCTGAAATTATCATCATCGCCAGTCCCGTTAGGTACCAGTATGACTTCAAAAGAGGACAGTAGCTTGGTTTTCCTTTACATATGGGTAGCTAGAAACAGAAAAGCTAAAAGAAAATCATAAGAATGTTTTCACATACAAATCTCAATCAATCTAGCTAGCTGCAACAAGTGTCTTTATTGCTGTTGTTTTTGTGCAATCAAAGCATGAAATCAAGGCACAGCTATTGACGAGGTTCCTTAAAATGCCATCTGACACATCAAGTCAATTTCTCCAGGTTTTGATTTCAGGTTTATGATATAATATAATGCACAGAATTTAGCGTCTGTTATGCAGAGATCGAGTCGATACCCCCATCAATTAGTTACCCCCAGTTGAGAGTTAAATATGGCATGAAGTAGTAAAAATTTTACTTTTTGAGTTTTTAATTATTTAATGCAATGTCACATTAATCACTTCCTGTCCACAATCTGTATATTAATGTTCCCTAATGCACGATGCCTTGTGCTTGGGATACATAATAACATTTTATCTTACGAGTACCCAGATGAAACTTTTCACATCTGGTAGCTCATTATCCTGGCTGATAGCTCCAGTCCCCATTGACAATCAGTAACCAATCACAATTTTCCCAATCAGGTGATCACTATATCAGCCATGACATAGTTATCACTGGCGGCTTCATTGGCAAAATGAGCCTTCTGCCTGCACATAAACAACACCACCTACAGGCAGCAGTGGGGTCTGCATTGCCATTTCTATAACAGTGCAGTTGTAAGATACAATTGCACTATTAAAAATAAATAAATAAAAATATGAAAGAAACTTTTGCCAAACATTTTTTTTAAATATATTTTTGATCAATTGTCAGCCTAAAATAATAAACAGAGCAGGGTTTTCATTAAAACAGTAGACCAGAAAAAAAATTTTTTATGTACTTTTAAAACATTTAAAACCAAACCATAGAGTTCACATCAGCATGCATTGGTTAACTTGACAATTCTAAATGTAGCCTGAACATTTAAGCATCGATGACTCCATAAGCTACTCAGGTTAAACTTTCCAGACACATTGCAAAGAACTGGTGTAAAGAAAATATGTTCCTAAGTTTTATTGACAAACTATATAAAAAACACACATTAATATATATGGGTCATTTTTTATATTGTATGTTATAAAACTTTGATGTATTGTAGTTATATGTCCTCCTTAAAGTGTATTTCCACTTTTGCAGGCAAGGAGGCTGATTCCAGGTTTTTCTCAGCCCCTTCACAATGATCTGTCCTAATGGAAAGACTTAGGACTCTTCTCAGACCACATGTGTCAAACTCAAGGCCCAGGGGCCGAATTCGGCCCACCAGGCCATTTCCTAGACTTCTATTTTCAGATCTAGGTATTAAGTTATTACTAAAACCAGTGATAATCGAATGCAGAGGCAATTATGATAAAGATTAGATACATTTATATGGTCTTACAGATACCTTTGAGGGCAACCATAATGTGGATGCGGCCCACGATTAAATTGAGTTTGACACCCCTGTCTTAGACCCTTCACAGCCCCTCCTAACATTTCAAATTGTAATACGCCTCTGGTAAGTCTGTAGGATCACAACTGCGGAGTAGCGGTAAGACTTGGAGAGGCTCAGTCCACTCCTCTCACAACACCCAGTTTTGGTGGTGGCTATTCAGTATTCAATTCCAGGCGTCACTCTCCATTAAGTTCAAGGAGAGTTTGGAATTGTTAACATCATACGCCGTCAGATAATGGCTAATGTCAGCGTGGATCCACAGAGGTATTACCTCATACACTCTAGAATAGCGAGCGTAATAACGCAACAAATGATTAAGTACTCCGTACTGAATTAATTGAAGACACCATGAACGAGGAATGGATACTAGGTGTGTGACGGCTGAACTTTACGCAAGGATTGAGTATGAGCCGTAACTTTACTATAGGCAGTTCTCCCCCAGGGAGTATGCGTAATCCCCATTTAGGTGGTCTGATGCAGTTTGTAGTTCACGATTTGGTTACTTTCGCTTAATAACACAACTACACAAGAGAGGGCAGCAACAGTCTATGAAGGTGTACATGTCCCTACATATTGGCATGTATAACTGACATGGGGCAGGATGTGATATGCAGTTGAGCAAATCCGCACAACTATAGCAGTGGGGTACCAGCAAGACAGGATCAATTGTACAGCCTATGAAGGGTTACAGGCTACTTGCGTTTTGGAGGAGGTTCATCTTTGGGAGCGTCCTGCAGGTTGAGGTAGTGGTAGCAGTCCAGCTTGGAGTAGACAGCAATGTGCGGTAGCCGTTCGGGCAAACTAAGGGACCCCCCCAGGCAGTCGGGCAGATCGTGCGGGTAGAAGCGCAGTGGATGATTGCAGGGCGTTCACGCTATTAGTGGAACACCGTGCAATCATCCCTTCCTGTCTTTATCGTGACAGCGGCCGTGCACGGCCGCTGAGTCTGGCGCTGGAGCGCTCACAGGTGAGTCCTTTACACAAATAAAGAGATGCAAGAAGGAATCTTTACTCTTAGAACCCTAACCCAAGTAAAAACAATTTGTGCTTATGCTATGTGAATGGGAACATGTAACAAATAGAAGTATTTACTCATATTAGAGAGCAGAAACCTCATATACTGTTATTATCTTAGGGGATGGCAGTGTATCAGATGGACTAGCCAACCTAGTCCCAACAGTAGACTTTTTCTTGGTTTTCATAAGAAGGAAGGGGTCATCTGAAGCCCCCACAGATATTCCAGTTATTAACGGATCTTAGTAATTAAGTTATTAATGTAATCAGCCTGTGATCAGCTAATTTAGGCGTTTTTTTGCTTTTTATCAAAAATGGAAATCTTCCAGTTTATTAGAGAATGTTGCAATGTACAGCTTACTTACCGTGACTAGTAGATATGCTTGTTAAAAGTTGAAGGCTACTTGAAAAATTACTTAGTGCCATCTTAAACACAGAAAGTGTCTCAGAAGAAAAATTGCATTTACCTGATATGACACAATGTGTAACCTGTAATGTTTCAAAGTAAATTTACTCTGTGATGTGAATACTTTCAACTTCTTTGTCTCAGTACCTTAGGAACACCATCCTTACATTCACCTTTTTCAATATACCTTCACGGCATATTATGTGTACATGGCACATCATTACTTAGTGAGACAGCAGGAAGTAAATGGGGAAAAACATCAATAAACATTTACAAGGACCAGTGTTAGCACATAACAAATATTTTATAATAAACGGATATAAAATTAAGTTCTTGGTGTTTACTAGTAGATTTCTTGATGTTTTTTTCTCTTAAGGTGACACCAACCTTAGGAGTTAAATCTTAAAAATGCATTCATGTACCTTACCTATTAACAGAAATGTATCTTATTTGTGTATCACTCGGCTGTAGATCCTCAAATCATCTCTGAATTGGTGCTGACACTGTCCTTCCTTCTGGAGGGTGACTACTTTTGTTCTCCATGATGCCTGTGTTTATGTGTCCCATAAGTTAAATTTTTGTTAAAAGGTAAGGTACGTAAATGCATTTTCAAGATTTAACTCCTGAGTTTAATCCTTTGGCTTTTTTGTTTTATTATTTAAAAATGGTTCTACAATGTTTGTGTGAAAATTTACTTTCAAAATAGAAAATTCTCTTCCACAGTGAACATAAGTCATGGCCTTTTCTAGGCCAACTTAGAGGTATTATTAGGCCAAACATGGGTATCACTTTGGTATAGAGTAGGGAAGGGTTAACACATTTTTAGCCTGTGTTACGTTTTACTGTTGCTCTTTTTAGTCTTTAAATACTGAACAGCCTTGTTAATTCTATGTAAACTTTTATTGTTTCTATTCTTGCCACAGCTGGTCCCTCACAATTGGCGGGCCTTCTCCATTATTTAGCATCGGAAGAGGAAGTGACTGCTCTGCGCCACTGTTTGAAGGTAATTCAAAATGTACATGATGTGGTAATCTCAGAATTTCCTGCTTGTTTTAGTTAAAGTATAACTAAAGGCAAAACTGGTTGAGTGACTCTAACATCTGTCTGGTTTTTATCGCTGTCAGTGTTCCTGCTAGGGATAGCTGCTCTCCCTATTTGTCCTGGTGATGACCATTATCACTGAGAGTGAAAGTTATCAAAATCCAAAATGTTGAGATGTCACCAGAAAGGTAATTGAGGGGAAAGTAGTTAAAAGAGAACTATGAGGTAAGTGTTTTTCCTCACAGTTCTCTTAAGGGTCACGGGAGGACATATACTAGCGTTCTCCCGTGACCCAAAGCTCAGTATAAAACACAAAAATTCCCCAGTCTCAACCTGCCAGCCAGCCTGCGACCAAACAAGTAGCCCTGTAAAGAGTATGCGTTAAAATCAGAGGTTTTAGTTGCACAAACTTTTGGCCAAAAATATGTAGAAGCCACACTGCCACGCCAAGGCACCTCTGCAAAGTGTAGTCCTAACTCTATGTATCCGAGTCTCCAAGTGTGAGCATATTAATGAAGTTGATAAATTACATGCAGGTGTACCTGGAGGTAGCCAACTCCTCCTAATAAGGTGCAGGGACGCACTGGAAGCCCAGCAACCAAAAATGCACGCTGGGACTCCAGTGCATCCCCCAAACCAAAAATAGTCAAACTAGAAAAAAATGGTACATGCATGAATCTATAACCGGCCTTTATAGCAGGGCGCACATTGTGAGCGAGCGATGGTATGTGTTCGCTAACTTTCCAATCTATTGAGCCGACGTGTGACAATTTCATTGTCACACGTCGGCTCGAACTATGAGTATGAGAGATTTTCACTCACTTCATAGTTCTCCTTTAACTATACAAATTCCTCTGAATTGGTAAATAACTTGCAAGCATAAACAAAACAAAAAAAAATGCCACCTTTTCAAGAAAGAAGATGGTTAAAGAAGTTATGATTGAACCAATTATGTATAAATTTAGCCAAGTGGCTTACTTTATTAAAGAATGTATCAAAAAATTATTATTATAAACACGACATCATCAAAAGTTAACAGCTGTGTCAATCACCTCACACATTAAAACTATTAGAGCAGCCAACATCCATTCCTCTCATTCTCACTTTGCTATGCTGGTAGCCATCACCAATAATTGCAGAGAAAACTTCCTTTGCATTCAATCTGTTAAGAAAGTTCATAGGACATTAATACATTTTATGTTGAAGTTTTCCTGTGAATAATTCCCAATTACGGTATATAGAGATCACGCACAAAACAAAATGAAAGAAATGTTGTAAGGGTTGTGGTGTGGGCCCGAGTTGACGAGGAGGACCTCCCTTGCAACCCCGTCTGTGACCACTGGGGTTGTTCAAAACAGTGTGCGCAGGCAGGGGGTGCACGGGTGCCGGGTGCTGATCCTGGGTTGCTCAGATGAGGGAAGACCTGATGGAGCAGTTGGCCATTCATTTATCCAACTGGGAAGTCAGGAGGCAGACCGGATCAAGCATAGGCGGGCACTGGGAGTACAGAGGATAATCCAAAGAATCGTCAGGAAACAAGCCGGGTTGATAACAGGCGGGCAAAGGCAGTACAGAGGATAATCCAAGAGTCGTCAGAAAGCAAGCCGGGTCGATAACAGGCGGGCAAAGGCAGTACAAGGGATAATCCAAAGGGTTGTAAGAAGCAAAGCCAGATCACAGGGTTTCAAGGAGACAAGAGCAAGGCACAGACATCCACACAGGCTGAAGATCACTCAGCACTGAATGAATGATCTGAGGTGCCTTATATAGCCCAGGGATGGGTTATTGCGCATGCGCCAGCGTGATGACGTCACCGGGACGTATCCGCGTAGTGACGTCACGCCGCGTGACCCCGCCGGGTCTTCTGGCGTCTGCGCCTGCGCGGCCTGGATGCGCCGGCGGACGTCCCCTCCGTGTGCGTCCCCGCACTGGAGCCCGGATCGGGACCCGACATGCCCCACGGACCGGGACCCGACATGGCCCACGGACCGGGACCCGACATGGCCCCCCCTAAGGGGCGGCCTCCGGGCGCCCATCAGATGGGCTTTGCTTGGGTTGTTCAGTAAAAAGATCCGGATGAGTCGTGGGGCGTGGATCGCGGACACGGGTTCCCAGGAGTTTTCTTCCATACCGTAGCCTTTCCACTTGATGAGGAACTGGCCAGTGCCCCTACGCCTGCGAAAGTCCAGGATCGCTTCCACCTCGTATTCCTCTTCTCCATCTATTAGCACAGGATTTGGAATGTCTGAGGAGCGGTCTGAAAAAACGTCCGGCTGGACTGGCTTCAATATAGAGATGTGGAAGACAGGGTGGATCGGATAGATTGGTGGGAGGGTCAGGCGGTAGGATGCCGGATTCATTTGGCGTTCCACCGGAAAAGGCCCAATATAACGGGGTCCCAATTTTCTGGAAGGACAGGCCAGTTTGAGGTTTCGAGTAGACAGCCACACTAGGTCTCCGGGTTGTAAGGTTAAATCCCCTCTGCGGGAACGATCATAAGCGCCCTTGGCCGCATCCTGGGCCTTGGAAATGGCCCGTTGGAGCAGGATGACATTGGAGTGGAGGAAGTCCACTGTCTTTTGGGCAGCGGGGACTGCAGAATCCAGTTTCCGGGTGGGTACACAGGCTGGGTGGAAGCCGTAGTTGGAGAAGAAAGGTGACTGGACCGTGGTGGAATGCCTGGCATTATTGTATGCAAACTCTGCTAGTGGAAGCAGGGACACCTAGTTGTCTTGGGAGAAGGTGGAGAAGCAACGGATGTACTGTTCCAAAGTTTGGTTGGTCCGTTCTGTCTGACCATTGGTCTGAGGATGGTAAGCTGATGAGAAACTCAGATGGATGCCCAGGGCTGTACACAAAGCTTTCCAGAACTTAGAGGTGATTTGCAACCCTATGTCAGAGACTACGTCGGTGGGGACCCCATGAAGACACACAACCTCCCGGATGAATGTGCGGGCTAGGATCTCGGCCGTGGGAACCTTCTGTAATGGAACGAAGTGGGCCATCTTGAATAGGCGGTCAACCACCACGAAAATGGCCGTGCAGCATTCGGAAGGCAGAAGATCCACAATAAAATCCATGGAGATGGCAGTCCAAAGACGGGACGGAATCGGGAGTGGCCGTAGTAGGCCCCAGGCTGGGGAAGAACATCCCTTGTTGCGGGCACAGCGAGGGCAGGCCGCCACGTATTGTAGGCAGTCCGTTGCCAGTGAAGGCCACCAAAATGTCTGTCGTACCAGGTCTGTGGTTTTGCGGGCTCCGAAATGACCAGCCAGTGGTGCATCGTGGCAGTGCCCCAGGACCGCTGTGCGGGCACTAGAGGGCACGAAGATCCTATCCTCATGGAAATAAACTCCGTCTTGCTGGGACATTCCTGATTCGTCCGAGGGCGGTGAAATCCTGGATGCCTGCTGGATGTGGGAAACAAGGTCAGGCTGTAACAACAGGAATTGGGTTGCTGGCAGGATGGTTTCCGGTCTCTCCAGAGTTTCTGGTGCCGTGTAGATACGGGACAATGCGTCCGCTTTCCCTTTGCGTGACCCAGGGCGGAACGTGATATGGAGATATGGATACGTCTTGCTGACCGGAGGTATTCCAGATTCTTGTGGTCTGTATATATCAGAACCGGGTGGGCGGCTCCTTCCAGTAGGTATCACCACTCTTCTAGTGCCAATTTAATGGCTAGAAGTTCCTGGTCTCCGACATCATAATTCCTTTCAGCCACACTCAGTTTCCTGGAAAAATATGCTACGGGGTGCAGGAGGCTTTTCAAGCCCTGACGTTGTGACAGAACAGCCCCAACTGCAGCTTCTGAGGCGTCCACTTCCAGGACATACGGCAGCTCGGGGTCTGGATGCCTCAGGATCGGGGCGGACGTGAATTGTAGCTTGAGCTGAGTAAAGGCTGCTTGGGCCTCTTGAGACCACTGAAAACGACTCAGTTTCCTGGTTAACTGTGTGATAGGCAGGACGATCTTGGAAAAATCCCGAATGAATCTCCGATAAAAGTTTGCGAAGCCCACGAAGCGCTGCACACCCTTCCTGTCCATGGGTGGAAGCCAATCCAGGATGGCCGATATCTTCTGAGGGTCCATGGAGATGCCACTGGCTGAGTGATTCTGTAAGGGTTGTGGTGTGGGCCCAAGTTGACGAGGAGGACCTCCCTTGCAACCCCGTCTGTGACCACTGGGGTTGTTCAAAACAGTGCTGATCCTGGGTTGCTCAGATGAGCGAAGACCTGATGGAGCAGTTGGCCGTTAATTTATCCAACTGGGAAGTCAGGAGGCAGACCTGATCAAGCACAGACGGGCACTGGCAGTACAGAGCATAATCCAAATAATCATCAGGAAACAAGCTGGGTTGATAACAGGCGGGCAAAGGCAGTACAGAGGATAATCCAAGAGTCGTCAGAAAGCAAGCCGGGTCGATAACAGGCAGGCAAAGGCAGTACAAGGGATAATCCAAAGAGTCGTCAGAAGTAAAGCCAGATCACAGGGTTTCAAGGAGACAAGAGCAAGGCACAGACATCCACACACAGACGTCCTTAAAGGAGAACTATGAGGTGAGTGCGTTCAAAAAATAAGTCAAATCAAATTGGGTGGACACACACTTTAATGTCAACTGAGGTTAGGGGCAGGGAATGAGAAGAACTAAGGTGGGAAATGTGGGAGTAGAAGGAGGAAGGTCAATCGTGGAAGGGGACAGAGGAGGGTTGGGGGGGGTAGGAGAAGGAAAATGGGTGATAATGGTGGGAGAGGACAGACAAAGTTTGGATAAAATAGGAGGAGGAGGAGGTTGGGCAATGGTGGTAGAAAGCAGAGAAGGAGAGGTGTCCAAAGGATATAGAAGTATAGTGACGCTGGTCAGATGAGGAATGATGGGGAGGGTTGAAAGGTATTTGGGAGTGTTGGAAAGCATGTGTAGAATATTGTTGGGGGGTGAAATGGTTTATGGGAGGTTGGAAAAGAAAGTGGAGGGCAAGAGCTACAAGCATTGAGAAGGTGGAGAACTCTGACGATTGGGGAACTTCTATTAAAATTTGTGCAGGATCTGGGTTTTATGCAGAGTCAGAGTCTTGTGCAGGCTCTGGGTTTTGTTGTCTTTCAACCTGTGCTGTTTGAATCTGGATCTGCACACCTAAGGCTTAAAAAACACTCTTGTAAAAAAAGGTTTTGTTGTGGCAAGTGATCATTAAAGTGATATTAAAGCTTTGTTTTGTTTTTCATATTTACAACTAGGAGGCCCTCCTTTGTATCAAACTTCTGTTGTTTTTCTTCTGTAAAAGTTTTCAGTTCCTAGTTTACTAGTGGGTTCCCGCATCGCTCTGCCTCCCGCTCCCTGGATGTGTGCCTCCATCAGCTAAGCGGCTGCTGTGGAGGAACCCGTGCGTGTGCGTTCCCGGCTGTGCCCACAGTAGCTATGTGCGTCCATAGACACACACAGCCATGCTGCAGACCACGCCCCTCCTCTCTGCCCAACAGTTTGATTGATTGATAGCAGAAAGAGCCTATGGCACCTCTGCCCTCAGTATTATTCCCCTGCAACCAGGAAGTCCTGGGAACGGAGGATCGCTTTGGGACCAGCGGAGGTAACAGCGGTAACACAGATAAGTGTGGTGGAGACAAGGGAGAGAAAAAGCTACTGGGCAGTTTAATTGCATACTGGGCACTCTAATGCATTAAGGTAAAAACACTCAGGCTAGAATACTACTTTAAAAATCTTACAGATATTGATCATCTGTTGCATGCATCCATGTATTGTTTCAGAAAACGTTGCTGCTGTTTAGTGTTGTACAGCTGTTATTTCTTGTTGGACCACTGTAATGACTTAGTGCTATTCATTGAAGTGCCAGAGTGAACATTTTGCGTCCTGTTGGAGCCTCAGCATCCATGCCAAATCAGGAGATTCAATGGATGACCTCCCCTGCTCCATTTATCTATCACAGTGACCAGCCAGCCTTTCACTGACAATCTAGGGTTGGCTGTGCACACTTTGGTGGGCACATCTAGCTTCGTCCAATGTCATCTAAACGGTAAAGAAAAATGAATGTCAACGGAAACTGTTTTCGAAGCATCACAAGTAGATGAAGTGGGAATGGGGGTGAGCTATAAGAAAAGTAGAGCATGTTCATCTTGGAAGGCTATTTTTTTATTTATCTTAGAGACTGTTTTAAATTACACATATGAAACAATGCATATGCCAGGAAATGTAAAATAAATAAAATCATTTTAGTATCTTGCTCATGATTGTTTTATTAAAACAATATTAAGTATTGTATTATTAAGTCAGCATGGCTTCATTTTATTTACTAAGTTCTGTAAAAATGGGCTTGCAAAGTAAACAAACACTTTGCTAAATGAACATACTGTACTGTTTTAATAAATCAGCCCTATTAGGAAGATTAAAAAAGTAGGTATGGTAAATCTCTAATAAAGTGTTTCTGTATCCAAAAGTAGTGGATACTAGCCTGAGATGGATTGGGGGAGGGTATTAACCCCAATCATGTTCTACTGCTATCCTGGGCTCCATTTGAGAGATCACACCGCACTTCCCATTCTGGTGATACAGTTTTTCCAAGAAGGAAGTGATAGAAAATATACAACAGAGAAACAGACAAGAATTAAGAGCAAAGTTCTAGCATTCCCTACTTAACTTAAAATGCATTTTTACTTATGTTTGACTTGCCATTGGAGAGTTTCAATCACTTCCTGTCTGGGGAAAATGTTGACACCAAGGTAGGAAGTGAGGGAAAATCTTAGTAAAGTAGTCCTGGACAGCAGTAAAATCTTACAGGGGTTGAATCTTTCTGATGATAGCACATGGTTGTCAATTGATTTAGAAGTGCAAACCTAGACTTTATCTGAAAGTAGAGCTGAAACCAAAACTTTTCTTTTTAGATTTAGTTGGATTGGGAGGGTTATAAGCCCTGTCAGATTTTATTTGTGTCGCATTGGAGAGATTTCCCTTCTGACAGCCGCAAAAGGAAGTGAGAGTAAACCCCTCCAAAGTGATGGAAAGCATTGGTAGACAGCAGGGTCACCAGAACTAGTGTCCCCGTTGGAAAATGTCCTATCTATTCCTGTTGTGATGACAACCCAAAATTTGGGATTTTCATTCACTTTCAGTGATAATAGTCACCTGGACAGATTGAGAGGGTGAATCTCCCCAACAGGGACACAGACAGCAATAAAAACCTGACAGAGGTTCTAATCCCTCTCCACTCTATCCAAAACTACAAAAAACAAAGTTTGGCCTTCAATTGCATTTCATTGACAAGCCAAAATATTTCTGGCTTGCTTGCCACGGAGCTTGCAAGGATTTTTTGCTGTGTGCTTGTTACTGCTGTAGTGACCCATAGTTAGCAACAATGAACTTAGTTACCTGTTCTGCTGTCAATGTTTTACGTAAGCAAGCACACAGCCATAAAAAACACCAAGCACCAACTTGCAAAATTTGTTTTTTGTTTGTGTCTGTGTTGCTATTGGAAAGCATAATTTTCCTGTGTTACTACATTGTCGATAAGGAAATTAGGTGAAAACTCTATGAAGCCCCAGAGAGCAGTAAAAGGGGGTTTAAGACTTCTGCACTGCATATAAGGCACACAATTATTAAAAGGCTGGGCATGCATATTAATAATGATCTGTATTGTTTACAAGAGTTTACAAGGGTAGGGAAGTCATACATAAACCAAAGAGCACATGGATGTACATAACAGTAACACAAAATTTTACATTCATTTAAGAGCACAACAAAAGGAATCAGAACAAAAGGTAAGTTAACATCAAAGGAAAAGAGACTGTGCCCTATGCCAACCCCAAATGTCCCGCCACACCAACCGAGTTGAGGACGGTATGCCAAAGGTGGGGGATCACGGTCACTTGCACAGATATTTTCCAGCAAAAGCAACAAAAAAAACTGGGGAAAAAGAGAAGCAGAAAATAGAAAGGTAGGAAGAAAAAACAGAGACAAAGAAAGACAGAAAGAGAGGGCTGCGCAAGAGCCGGCACAGGCTCACTGTCCTACGTCCTCAGCAGAGCCATCAGAGTGTAAGCAAGGTCTGATCCAAATCTATAAGATGGGTATACTCCAACCATGGAGACCAAATTTTCAGAAAAGTAGGACAGGAGTCATTCAGGACAGCTGAGAGCTTCTCATGCACCATCATACCCATGGCCCTCTGCTTAACCGCCCTAAAGAAGGGACCCTGAGTGGCCCCAAAACATTGGCTAAATGATGCTTGTGACATGTTTCTTCAATTAATAAGCAAAATAATCTAATGTATTTGACTGAGTGCTGGTGATCTCCGTTTTCTATGATTTGGGCAATAGAACAGTTTAATACTGACCTCGACAATTTGTATACCTGCACCCACAACTTTTGTGCTTTCAGACACTTCCACCAAATGCAAAGAAACGTACCCCAGGCATCACAGCTGCGAAAGCAATAATGCTCTGCTTTGAACCAGTGTGATGGTACTATTAAAGGAGAACTATGAGGTGAGTGCTTCTCACTCACCTCATAGTTCTAGCTGACCTGTGACAATGAGACTGTCACAGGTCGGCTCAGTAGATCGGGAGGTGAGCGAACATATACCGGCGTTCGCTCACCTCTCGATCCTGTCACGGCTCTCTGCCGCGACAGGGGAGGGGCTGGATTCCCCCCTCCCCGCTCCGATCCGCCAGCGCTGACTGGCGAAAACGGACGGGGCGGGTACAGCTGGCTCTGCCTCTAGATAGGCGGAGCCAGCTGTCACTCACGCAGCTGGGCGGATCTCGACATCGATGTCAGGATCCGCTCCGGCTGCGGCGTCTCAGTATACCGCGAGCTGTAGCTTGCGGTATACTGAGCTTAGGGTAACGGGAGTACGCAAGTTTGTGTCCTCCTGTTACCCTAAGGAGAACTATGAGGAAAAGCCCTGACCCCATAGTTCTCCTTTAAGGGCCCATTCGGACCATAGCGCCGTGTTAAACGCACAGTGTACTATTTCTCTTCCAATGCAAGTCTAATGGAAACTGCTTAAAAACAATGAACTTTTTACAATAAACGGTGATAAGGTTGGAATTCTTGGTCTCTGCCCTGAATATATCAATTTACC